TTATAGATCACAGTTTATCGATAGGTCACAATGAACCAAAATGTCGGTCACATACACCAAACACCCCACCCCCGTCCCGATCCTCCGCCAATATTTGGTCACAAACCAACCAAATAATTGGTCACAAATACTACCCCGCCCTCGCCACAACACCACCCAAACCTCCACCGTTGCCCCGTCACAATACCACCACAACCCCCGTCACAATAACAATAAAAAACAATGCCGCCTGCACCGCAACACCAAAAAAACCACTATCACTGTTGTTCACCCCGCCACAACACCACAATAATCACTGCCACAATAGCAACACCGCCTACACCGCAACCACACCTCACCGAGCCCATCACCAGATCTGTTACTATTCCTCCTCAATATATACCTGCTAACTACCGACGAACCAGTACCCGACAAGCTCCAACTCCGACTAACCCGAACCCGACCTAAGGAGGAAGAATCCGATCTAAATCTCCTAGAAACAGAAGAGAAATTAGCAAAAAGTCGACTGATTCTACCACGTTCTCTTTTTCCTCTCCTCGTTACACCCCACTCAATTCTCCGGGGCATGCCATCATCATTGTTAAACCCACCATCAATTTCTGTATAAACCCTCGGCATAGTCCTTGCCCGTTCGCAGAGGTGCCATTGTCGTCTCTAGGTTCGCCCATAAACCTCCCAACGGCATAACCTCCACCATGCAACCTCCATATCGTCAACCCAGCACTCTCGTCTTTCCTCCCCGCAGCGCCACCACCAGCAACACCACTGTCATCCACCGATGCTCACACATCCACAAATAAAAAAAGGAAGAAGAACAGATCTGAACCAAGACTAGATCTGCACAAAGCCGCCGTGGTGGTGGAGCGAAAAAATGAAACGGTGGTGGTGCCGGCGGGCGGCGGCGAGAGGGATAGAGAGAGTGTGGAGAGCGGCAGGGGGAGAGGGAGAGAAAATGAAATTAAGGTTTGAAAATTGTGTAGAATTGATTTAAATAAAACTTAATTTAAAAATGATTAATTAAAAC